GGGGCGGGGAGGGAGGTGCCGCGGAGCCGGGAGGGGCGGGGCGGGGCGGGCCCGAGGCGCCGCGGAGCCTGGGCGGCGATTCTCCGGCGCGGAGATGGGCTGAGATGCCCGCGGCCGCCGAGGCCACGATGCCGCCGCCCGGGACGGGCAGCCTGCGAGCCGAGGCGGCCTCCGCGCGCGCCGCGCCGCTGCTGGGCCGGAGCTGCCGGGACGGCGCGCGTCTGCCCCGGGGGCATCCCGGCGCCCTGGCCGACGCGCCGGCCGCTGAGCCCTTCCCTTCCCCGCCCGCGGTCGGGGCGGCTGCCCGGGCGCGGGGCGGGGAGGCCCTCAGCCTGGCGCTCCGCCCCGGGAGGCAGGCGCGCTGAGCCGGAGCCGGAGCCGGAGGGGCCATGGGGGGCGCGCAAGTGAAATGGTGAGCCGGGGCGCCGGGCCGGGGGGCCGGGGTCCGAGGCCGGGGTGGCCGGGGCCCTGGGCGCTGTCCAGGCGGCGGCCGCGGGCCTGGCGGGTCCCCTCGCAGCGCGGGCGTCCAAGGAGCGGCTGGCCTCGCCCCGGAGGGAAGCGGGACTCTCGTATCGCTCATGACCCATTTTTAAAAAATTGATTTTGAAGAAGGCCCTTCGGCGGAGGTGGGGGGTGGCCTGTTTGTGCGGCGAGACTCCGAGAGACGCCAGGCGCCTGGGGGCTGAGAAGCGTGCCGCCGGGCCCGGCCCCGGGAGGGCGGCGGCGGCTTGCATGGCGTCCGTGTGATCCCCGGGCCCCGGCCTCGCCGTTAGCCGGCGTCACACCGCCTTCTGCGGCCTGAGGCGGACGAGTCCGAGCCCACCCTCCGCGGCGCGGCGCTTCCTGGGGAGGCGGCGGGGCGGACGCGCCTCCGGGCCTCTATCCCCGACGAGTCCAGCCCCGGGCCCTGCTCCGCGGCCTCGCGCAGGAGGCCTCCGCCCCGGAAGGGAGAGCTGTCCCCTCCGGCTGCCCGGCCACTCCGCCAGCGGGGCTGCTCGTGCACCCGTGCGCCTCTGGTCCGGGGAGACGGCCCCTTAGGGGGCGGCGGAGCCCGGCGTGCCCCCTGTCCAGGACAGCCCCGTGCCGGCACCGCAGGGTCCCGCCGCCCCGTGAGCCCCTGGCCCCTCGTCTGGCACGACCCTCCGCGGGCCAGCCCCGTGCCGGCAGGGCGGGGGGCCACAGCACCCCCGGCAGCGGAGGAGGTGCCGTCTTGCTCTCTCTCCGAGGGGAGCAGCTGTTGTCAGTGTCTTTCGGTACCTGGATCCCCATTTCTGGAGGAGGAGAGCCCCAGGGCCTGAGCCGTCAGAATCCTGCCGTCCTCATGGGTGGCACAGTGCCCGCACGCAGGTGCTTTCCCGGCAGCCAACCCACTGGCCTGGAGGTCAGATTGCCTAAGTGGCTGGTGGTGGTAAGAGCTCTATAAAGCAGTTACCTTTGCTAAATACCATTTCTTGCCACTCTCCACACACCTCTTGCCTATTCTAGTTGTAGATATATAGATAGGGTTAAGGGAATTTATTTAATTTGAAAAAGAGAAAAAACTTTGTTTTTTCTGTTATTCCAGTCAAGAATGAGAATGTATTACTGGTTGAGGTCATTCCCACCCAAGCCCTGAATCTGGACCAATGAGAAAGACGAGAGTGTCTTCAGGCTGCTTCAGAGGCTTTGAAACCTCGGGTTCCCTCCGCTGTGCCTGGCTTTTGTTTGTACTGGTTTCTAGGAAGACGAAATGTTCACTCCTGAGTGTGGCTGTGAGGATTAGCCTGGGGGCTGTCAGGGGCACATTAAGTGGGTCAGTGAATCCTAGACATTCTCACTGTTGTCTGGGTGATAGATTTGGAAAGAACTCCCACGGGGGTGCTGGGCCTGCAGACCCCCAGCCCCTGAGATTGCTCCAGTGCCGACGTTCTCAAGGTGCCTGGAAAAGGAGCCAGGTCTCAGGCTCCTTTCCCCCGTCAGATGGAAGCATCAGCCTCACAGTCGCATCTTGTGGATCTGATGCCGTTCTGGAGTTTAAAATTGCACTTCCCTGAAAATCTGAACAGTTTCTTTCAAGGCTAATAGTTATATCAGAGCTTTAGAATTATTGAGTGGTTTCTGATGACAATTTGAAAGGTGTGGCAGAGGTACAAATAACCCTTTCCTCCTCCTTATCATGACCTGTCTTTGTTGATCAGTCATTGCCCCTTTGCCCAGCTTGGGGCTGTCCACACTCCAGCAGTTTCTCCCCCTCAAGTGCCCCCACAGTGCCGCCTTCTTTGGGATCGGCCCAGAGCTGACCTGCCACAATTCTTCTGCTGGCATTGCTTGCGTCTGTGAGAAATTAGTGGATTGGAAATAGATTTTTCCATGCCACTGCCAAACCTGCCAAGACACACACTACGTTAGTCTCTGAACCTGGGCCCAGGGATGGTGGTGCTTGTAAAAATTTTTAAAAAAGCAAACAAACAAAACAAAATGTGGAGTTCTTTAAAGTACTAGATTGCCCATCCTTCTGCTAAGTCTCTTCTTGGTGAAGCAGGCTTAAAGGCAGCCTTGTGGTGGGGGGACTTCCTACGACTGGGTCGTCATTCATTTCACTCATTCAGTAAGTTCATCATTCCTTCATTCAACAAATATTCTTATTGTGGCCCAGATACTGTGTTAGGCAGTAGGAGTAAGATGAATAACAACAAATCTCTGGGATACTTTAAGAAAGCTGGTTTCTAAACAACACTTCATAACAATTGTTTCTCTTTTCCTCCAATCACAGCCTGACTTCACCCAGTCCCATGCACAGCGCAAAGAGTGAATCCATTATAACCCAGTCGGAGGAAAAGGCAGATTTTGTGATCACTCCTTCTGGAGGAATAGAGAACAGAACAGGTACTGTCTCTCGGCCTGCCTGGGTCAGCTCAAGGAACAGCCTCAGCTTGAAGAGTTTGGGGACCCTCTCTACCTGTAACTCCCTCTCCGTAGTCTATACATGCAGGGTCAGCTCCAAAGGATGCTGAAGCTGCTAAGCTAGTTAATGCGGCCGTCCTCTGGTGGGACGTCACTACTGATGTCCTAGCTGTCAAAAGTCTTATAGCACCTTAGACAGGCCGTCCTCCCCTGGCTGCCTGTGAATTAGGAAATGACTTGGGACAGTCAAGCCTCACTCAGGTAAACAGTTTTTATTATTCCTGTGTTATACAAATAATTTCAGTACTTCCCTAATTTAAATTGGACCTCAGAATATACAGTATGGGCTACGGTGTCTGGACACACTTCTGCCTCAGGCCTGGCATGAGGGCTGCAGAGGACCACGGGGCGGCCCCTGTTTAGACTTCTCTTTCCTGTCTTGGTTGCCCTCCTTTTCTTACGTAAACATTTTCTTACTCCTTTTCATACATAAAGGGAAGCATGGGAGACACAAAGCATGTGATTTAGATATTTATTCACCTGTAAGAGTTATAATGAGACCAAAGTCCTCAGAAGAAAAACTGGCATTAAATTCTTCCCTCCTCCTCTCCCCCTCCAGCCCTGGTGTTAGTACCAAAGGGTCAGTTGTGTTACGGAGCCAGAGACTCCTGGGACCCTGGGCAAGGAGAGGGGAGCATTCATCGCGTGCTCTGGGTCAGGCACCATGGGCTCTGCACACCAATTATCCATTCAATCTTCACAACACCCCAGGGGGATTATACTTACTGTTAATGCTTATGAATGAAGAAACTTACTCAAAGGGTTAATTCCCTTCTGTATTCCGTAATGCATTGAGTGGCTGCGCATACTGTTAGAAGGGATGAAACAGACATGAAAATGAGAGCAAAGGGACCAGAAATGTAGGGAAATAAAACCAACCCAGGTAGAGAATTAAACAGTTTGTGCAAGTGGGCTTCTACCGCCTTGTTTCCTGTGTGACTCACACAATGTTATTTGGGAAAGATGTTCGGTCACAAGGAAATGGCCAGGGGAATCCCTCTGAAGCTCCAGAGCTCCCAACGGGAATTTTTCATTGCATGTGACAGTTCTTCACTTTGTACCCAGCAGAGTCACGCTCTGGGGATGCCAGTTCTAAAGAATTAGAGTAAAATCTGTGTCCTATACCGAGACTCCTAGAGAGGGAGTCTTCCTGCCTCCAAAAGGTTGGAAAGAGAGTAGGTTTCCCCGACAGACCTGAGACGCTCCAAGCCTGGAGTGCGAGCAGACAGCCAGTTCCTCAGTCTCACGGCCCCACCTGGCGGCCAGTCCAGTCTGTGCCCTGAGGACAGGGTCAGGCCGGTGACCTGAACATGTGACCGGGAAGCGCTGGGCGCTTTCTGCTGGGAACCGTTTTCCTCAGCGTGACCCGTGCTCCCTCTCCATTTGTAGAGGAGACGGCCTCTCCCTTGTCCCGAGACTGGCGAGACTGGCGACCAGGCGGTTCCAGCGCCCATCTGGAGACTCCATGGGAAGAGCAGCTGATGGAACAACAAGAGCATTTAGGAAAAGAAATGGAGGAAACAAAGAAAATGATATCAGGATTACAGGTAGCTCTTTGTCTTGCAGTCTGTCCTTGGTGCACCAACTGATTATTGTTTTGAAGTCACTCTATTGATTGAAAATAAATGGATTCAGTTTTATATGAGGTCAGAGCTGAATGGGGAGCTGAGACACCGGGACCAGCACGCGAAGAGCTGGAAGTCCCTTGCCTGTGAGCGCTGTCCGGTGGGCTCTGTGGGCTCCTGTTCACAGCGCAGCTGTTAGAATTTCTGCAGGCCTGGGAACCATGACTGATCCCACCAAGCCCTTGTCCTGGCTCTCTGCTTACTGACGGCTTTTCCCTGACCCACAACTGCAGCCTGCCCTTGCGGCTTCCACGGAAGAACGGCTGTGCAAACGGTCGGCCGTTTCCCCTGACAAACACCTTCTGAGCAGGGCGGGTGCCAGAGCCGGCAGTGCCAGGTCTCCGTCTGCGTCCGATGAGCTGGGGGCCTCAGCTTACTCCTAGTGCTTCTGCAGTGGATGCCACGGCACAGTGATCGAGTGGAAGGTTTTCTGGAGTAACGGGGCCCTTCAGTGTTTGCTGTACCGTCAGCACCAGTGTGGCAAGTCTCCCCCAGAGGCCAGCTGACCCACTTAGTTCCTGTGCTGAGTGACCCCCTCAGTCCTCTGTACGCCTTCCCTGCTTGAGGGAGCCCTTGTAGTGAGCTGATGGCCCTAGAATAGCCTAGGAACATTCCTGCCTTTTGTGCTGGGAACTGTGCTGCTTCTGAACTGTCAAATATTTATGGACACGTAGACAAAGCCCATATTATGTGAGTGGCTCTAGCAGCTGGCAGACGGTGGAGGACGTGTTCCCAGCCAGCCAGCAACAGAGGGGGAACACAGGGTTCCTGAAGGAGAAAGTACATTGGTGCTGTGGCAAAACAGTTCGCATGACGTGTGCCCCAGGAACTGAGACGGGCTGGAGGGATGTTTATTGCCTAAACGTTCCCAAGGAGGATCACTGGTTCTCCCGTTTGCTCACCTGTCTGCCTTTATGACCCCTTGCCTGCCATTCATTAAGGAACCATTTATTTACTGGGCTGGGGGCACATGTGCTGCCCTTTCCTAGGCAGTATTAAGCTTGGAGAACTTTTGGACTAGACCCAGCCAGGTTTTCCCAGGATAATTTGCGTTATGTGAACGTAGATATCCATCAGTTTGGTCTGCATCTCAGTGGGAGAATTCCAGTGGCAGATTGGAGAGAAAAAGAAGAGAATCAACAGGCAGAGAGTCAGCACCCTGTACCCCCTGCCAGCAGGAGCTGTAAGCCACAGCCACAGGCTTACAGCAAGAATCAGTGCCGTCGTGGAACACTGTGGCCTCTGGGCTTTTACACTCAGTGGTTGGCAAGCTAGCTGCCTGCTCGGCTACGTGCAGGATCCCACCAGCCTGGCGGGCCTGTTAGAGCCCCTGGAGCCCTTTGCCATTGGGGTTGGTATTTCTGTAATGCTTTCCGAGGCTCCCTGGACTGCTTATACTTGCCTGTACCTCTTGCCGCAGCTTCAGGGTATAACCAAATTAATAAGATTTACCAGAATTTACTATTAAATAGTGCTTGGCAGACCAACCAGTGGTTGGATTTTAAAGTGTTTTTATCTACCAGTATTTGTGACATAATTTGTGTTACATTTATTGAAAGAGGATTTAACCTCTGTAACTCTTCTCTCCTGATTAACCTGAGACAGAATCATGATATAAAATGGGGACATGTTTTTAAACCTTTCACTAAATGGATAGGTCTTGTAATACCTACCTGCTCAGGCAGGTCCAAGTTTTGCTGAGTCCTAGAGTATACAACCTGGGAGCCTTCTTAAGCACAAAGCGACAGATCATGAATACAGCATCAGATACAGGCCGGGGGTCCGTGCTCGGGGGGCTTGGGGCTTGAGCTGCCTTTGCTTCAGGATAAGCCACCCCTTCCCCCAACCATATTCTAAGGAAAACAAGACCTGGTGTGGGTGTGGAAATGAATGAGGACGTCTCTCTGCGAATGTATTTTCCTTCTTGTTCTATCCAGGTTTTGCTTAGGGGGCAAAAATGCAGAATTATTAGAACAAACAAAAATTAAACAAACCCAAGTCAGAGCTCTGAATGAATTCCAAATAATTCATTACAGTCAAGTTTTCTAAGCCAGATAATTCTGCTCTGCTTTTAGTTCACTTTCCAGCTAGTAACATTCACTCTGACAGCTGTGGTTTAAAGTGTCACTTCTGAGAGGAAAGTCTGGATTGTTTACGGGGGCCAAGGAGCCTGGGAGCAGAAGATGCAGGTGCATCCAGAGAAATCAGAGGCCTGGCGCATGAGCCTGAAAAAATGAACTCCAGATAGGCCCAAGATGAGCAATTGGAGGCATCTAAGATCAAAAATAACCAAGGAGATTTCTAGAGGCAGCCCAGTTATGATTTCAGTTTGGGATTCATTTACCAAAAGCCCAACTCTGGACTTGGTCATCTGATGGGAGTCACGTTTCTTTCTGCCTTTGTGGTTATTCAGGCCTTGCTGCTCAATGGATCCTTACCTGAAGATGAGCAGGAGAGGCCCTCGGCCCTCTGTGAACCAGGAGTCACTCCTGAGGAACAGCTGGTGAGTTCCCTCTTGTGACTGGACGCCAGGCGGACTGGTCCTTGTGTCTGACTCGCCTTCAGCATCAAGCCGTCACCCACACCTTGAGCTGCCCGTCCCCCTGACTCCGGCTCTCCTGGCTTCCCTCATGTATTTCTGACTACATTTCCCTCCTTCCTTCCACAAGTACTTATTGAGGGCCAACCATGTGCCAGGCTCTGTTCCAGGCACTGGAGATGTGGAGATGACAGAGCAGACCTAGGCCTGCCCCACGGAGTTTACAGCCGGGCTCGCTCTGGAGCGCCTCCTCAGACTCCCACCTGGACCCGCCTCTGTCTTCCCATTCACCTGGGTGGTGTTCTCGGCCTCCGTGGCTTCAGACGTTTGCAGCTCAGCTCCTCCTGTGGAGCTCTGGAGGTGTCTGTGCAACAGGCCGCTGCCTGCTGACAGTGTGTTCACATGTTCTGTAAGCATCTCAGTTCAGTGAGTCCTGAATTTAACAACTTTCCTCTCCTCACCACTAAAACTACTTGTTCTTTTGGAGTCTGTTTCATACCACTATCCTTCTACCCAAATACCCCAAATAGAAATCTGCACATCCTTGAGTCCTTTCTGACCCTTCCCTCTGCATCCAGTCACCAAGTTTTGTCAGTTCTTTTTTTTTAATTAAGGTATCATTGAAATACAATCTTATGAAGGTTTCACATGAGCAACATTGTGGTTTCAACATTTGCCCATATTATCAAGTCCTCACCTGCCTGTGTTGCAGTCACTGTCTATCAGCATAGTAAGATGCTATAGTCACTACTTGCCTTCTCTGTGCTGTACTGTCTTCCCTGTGTGTGTCAATCATAATGCCCCTTAAATCTCCCTCCCTCCCCACCTGCCCTCCCCTCCCCCTCCCGTGGTAACCGCTAGTCCGTTCTTGGTGTCTTGTGAGTCTGCTGCTGTCTTGTTCCTTCAGTTTTGCTTCGTTGTTATACTCCACAGATGAGTGAAATCGCTTGGAACCTGTCTTTCTCCGCCTGGCTTATTTCACTGAGCATAATACCCTCTAGCTCCATCCATGTTGTGGCAAATGGTAGGATTTGTTTTCTTCTTAGGGCTGAATAATATTCCACTGTGTATATGTACCACCTCCTCTTTATCCATTTATCTACTGATGGACACTTAGGTTGCTTCCATGTCTTACATGCTTCCATGTAAATAGTGCTGCGTTAAACATAGGGGTGCATATGTCTTTTAGAATCAGGGATCTTGTTTTCTTCGGGTAAATTCCTAGGAGTGGAATTACTGGGTCAAATGGTATTTCTGTCTTTAGTTTTTTGAGGAACCTCCATACTGCTTTCCACAATGGCTGAACTAGTTCACATTCCCAACAGCGGTGTGGAGGGTTCCCCTTTCTCTGCATCCTCGCCAGCATTTGTTGTCTCTTGTCTTTTGGATGTTGGGCATCCTAAGTGGTGTGAGGTGACATCTCATTGTGGCTTTAATTTACATTTCCCTGAAGATTAGTGATGTGGAGCATCTTTCCATGTGCCTGTTGGCCATCTGAATTTCTTCTTTGGAGAAGTGTCTGTTCAGATCCTCCACCCATTTTTTAATCGGGTTATTTATATTTTGGGTGTTGAGGCGTCATGAACTCTCTATATGTTTTGGATGTTAACCCCTTATCGGATAAGTCACTCACAAACATGTTCCCCCATACTGTACGGTGCCTTTTTGTTCTTATCAGTTCATTTTTTAAGTATCTTTAAATATCCAATATTCTTTACTCTCACGGCTGTTACCTTAATTCAGGCCTTCATCCAATATTCTAGTGGTCTTCTAACCGGTTTTCCTGATTCCTTTCCTGTCCTCTAATTCTTTTTCTTTTTCTATAAAATGGCAAGAATAATTTACTTTGAAGGCACGCTTCATTTTGTGATCCCGTTGCCCAGGCCTTTTCATTGGTTCTGTCGCCCTCACTGGCCCTCGCGATCCGGCCGCTCCCCTGTCCTCTTGCCCAGCCCCTGTGCTCAGCGCACATCGTGCGTGCACGCGAGGGCGGGGCTGGGCCTGTGCTTTCTGTGCACGGTACAGGCTCGCATCTAGTAGGGGCTCAGCACACACTTGAATGAACGGCCTCTGCGTTTCACAGCACAGGTACACAGCCATCTCTTTTTGCCTTATGTTCAGGTTATAATCCAAAGTCTTCTGGATCAGAGTACGGAGGAGAATCAGGACCTAAAGGTAGGTCAGGACGTGCATTTTACCCTCTGGAAAGGCTTATGGGAATGTTACACACAAACTTCAGAGCAGTGACGAGGAGAGGGGCAGGGACGCAGACTTGGCATGTCAGCTGAATCTGTGTCATGTCTTCAACTGAGAGACACAGATATGTTCTAACGGTGGCAAAGGGTATATATGTCATTGTAGGTTCTACCTTCCAGTACATTTGGAATGTTCCATAGTTTTTCTTTTTTAACTAAAATTTAAAGATGGATCCAGTATCAGTATGGTCTTTTACAAAATAATTGACATAAAACATTGTATTAGTTTCAGGTGTACAACATACTGAGTCAGTGTATATACTGTGTGTCTAGTTAACATCCATTACCCTGTGTAGTGGCAAATTTTTTTCTCCTGATGAGAACTTTTAAGATTTACTCTCTTGGCAGCTGTCAAATATACAGCATAGTATTATTAACTATAGTCCAGAATAGTCTTTTTAAATGAATACGTCCTAGAATTCCTGTTTCTGTGGGTTACCTTCACGTTTACTGAACCTACTTCCTGCTCAGTGAGAGGGTTAGTGTTTCATGGAATGGTTTCTGAGTTTTGTGTTTTTACTGACAGAATGAGGTAATGCTTCTGAAGCATCCCAGATGCTGCTATCTGACCTAACTATTTGGTTTGCAGAAGGAGCTGCTGAAATGGAAACAAGAGGCCAGGAACTTACAGGGGATGAAGGTAAAAGGGAAGCCATTTAACTCCAGATAGTCTCTGCAAGGTCTAGTCACAGGAGTGGGTGGTCAGACCACGGTCGGGTCCCCTGGTCTTAGATACACCTGCCGGCCTTTAACAGGCCGCTGGTAACGAGGGCTCTGTGGTGGGAAGACAGATGGGGCAGAAAGCGCCTCATCTCTGAGGCATGTGTCTGGTAGTGACTCAGTGCTGTCTTTTCCCCCTGTGCCACCTTGCTTGTTTTTGTGTGTGAAAACAAACAGTTTTTACAGTTTTCTCCAATTCTAAGGAAGAATGTCCTAAAAATTATAACTTGCTTAGTTTTTAAATAGTTAACATTCAGATGGTTTAAAGTTTAGAAGTTACAAAAGGATAATCCTTGAAAAGCCTTCTGGTCTGTCTTCCCAGTCACCTAATTCTTTCCTGGAAGTAACATACCAGCTGTCAACAAAAATGCATGTATATAATTTTTCCCAAATAAAAGTATACTATAGATAACAGCTGGACATGTTTTTTTTTTCCACTTAGAAGTGTACCTTGGAAATCATTTTATTTCTGTAAAGACCGTCCTAGACCCTTTTTCTGGCTGCATAGTATTCCAGTATATGCATATTTGATAACTTATTTACTCAGTTCCTTTTGGTGGTCTTTTAGGTCATTTCCAGTCTTTTGCTAATACAACCAGTGATCTAACTATTAATCATGAATATGTGCTATTTCACATAAGTGGGTGAATATCTGCTGAATGAATAACTTGAAGTGGAAAAGAATGTTCCTGAGCTGCTGCTTTCCCCGCTTCCCTGTGCTCCCATTCACGGGTCAGAGTGTAACTCAGCAGCATTGCCCAGACTATACACTCTGTAGCCTTAGTCCTTTGGCACCTGAGAAAACAAATGAGTTTTAGAAATGCCCTACAGGCTTGGAGAGTCACAGTGAACAATAGCAAGGAAAGGGCCTGCAACGGTCTGTCATCAGGAGACTGGCCCAAAATATTCAGGATCATTAACCACAGAAGCACTTTTTCTCCCACATAATGCTTATTGACGTCCCAGGAAGCACACTCTGGGAGATGGTCCTCAAGCTACTGACGCCAGGGTGTCTTAGAAAACCTCTGCCATGTTCGGTCATGGCCAACAGCATCCCAAGCCACGCCATCCCAAGCCACGCCATCTCTTTACAGTCTGTAAAGAGGAAAAGTCAGGCAAATGTGCAGGAATGCAACTCTGGCCCATCAGCTCCACTGGGGGTCACTGGGATGGGAGGACTGTGTTGATAGCCGGCCTCTGTAAGTGAGTACATACAGCCTACTTTTCTTAGGCATGGTAGGAACCAAGAGGTCCAAGCCAGGGGAAGGATAGCCTGAAGTTGGTGAGACCCTAGGACACTGGGAAGAGGAACCATCAGTCTCAGAACAGTTCTGAGCATGGGAATATAATCCCAATCCTGGTCCAGACCAGGAAGGTGGGGTGGGAATGGTTCTGTGGATTCTATATGAACAGGGTGGCAGGCAGTGATAGGGCCAGACACTTTAGGAAATGAGGCCTTGGCAGAGGATAAGGAAGAAGTGCCCATCTAGATGGAGCATGTATGTACCCCAGGTACAGACAAGAGATGTAGAGTTGGAGTAAGGACAGGGCAGTCCAAGGTCACTGCTGTGGAAGTGGTGGACTTACTGACCCCAAAGGTCACTTCTGAGTTTTGTGTTTTTACTGACAGAATGAGGTAATGCTTCTGAAGCATCCCAGATGCTGCTATCTGACCTAACTATTTGGTTTGCAGAAGGAGCTGCTGAAATGGAAACAAGAGGCCAGGAACTTACAGGGGATGAAGGTAAAAGGGAAGCCATTTAACTCCAGATAGTCTCTGCAAGGTCTAGTCACAGGAGTGGGTGGTCAGACCACGGTCGGGTCCCCTGGTCTTAGATACACCTGCCGGCCTTTAACAGGCCGCTGGTAACGAGGGCTCTGTGGTGGGAAGACAGATGGGGCAGAAAGCGCCTCATCTCTGAGGCATGTGTCTGGTAGTGACTCAGTGCTGTCTTTTCCCCCTGTGCCACCTTGCTTGTTTTTGTGTGTGAAAACAAACAGTTTTTACAGTTTTCTCCAATTCTAAGGAAGAATGTCCTAAAAATTATAACTTGCTTAGTTTTTAAATAGTTAACATTCAGATGGTTTAAAGTTTAGAAGTTACAAAAGGATAATCCTTGAAAAGCCTTCTGGTCTGTCTTCCCAGTCACCTAATTCTTTCCTGGAAGTAACATACCAGCTGTCAACAAAAATGCATGTATATAATTTTTCCCAAATAAAAGTATACTATAGATAACAGCTGGACATGTTTTTTTTTTCCACTTAGAAGTGTACCTTGGAAATCATTTTATTTCTGTAAAGACCGTCCTAGACCCTTTTTCTGGCTGCATAGTATTCCAGTATATGCATATTTGATAACTTATTTACTCAGTTCCTTTTGGTGGTCTTTTAGGTCATTTCCAGTCTTTTGCTAATACAACCAGTGATCTAACTATTAATCATGAATATGTGCTATTTCACATAAGTGGGTGAATATCTGCTGAATGAATAACTTGAAGTGGAAAAGAATGTTCCTGAGCTGCTGCTTTCCCCGCTTCCCTGTGCTCCCATTCACGGGTCAGAGTGTAACTCAGCAGCATTGCCCAGACTATACACTCTGTAGCCTTAGTCCTTTGGCACCTGAGAAAACAAATGAGTTTTAGAAATGCCCTACAGGCTTGGAGAGTCACAGTGAACAATAGCAAGGAAAGGGCCTGCAACGGTCTGTCATCAGGAGACTGGCCCAAAATATTCAGGATCATTAACCACAGAAGCACTTTTTCTCCCACATAATGCTTATTGACGTCCCAGGAAGCACACTCTGGGAGATGGTCCTCAAGCTACTGACGCCAGGGTGTCTTAGAAAACCTCTGCCATGTTCGGTCATGGCCAACAGCATCCCAAGCCACGCCATCCCAAGCCACGCCATCTCTTTACAGTCTGTAAAGAGGAAAAGTCAGGCAAATGTGCAGGAATGCAACTCTGGCCCATCAGCTCCACTGGGGGTCACTGGGATGGGAGGACTGTGTTGATAGCCGGCCTCTGTAAGTGAGTACATACAGCCTACTTTTCTTAGGCATGGTAGGAACCAAGAGGTCCAAGCCAGGGGAAGGATAGCCTGAAGTTGGTGAGACCCTAGGACACTGGGAAGAGGAACCATCAGTCTCAGAACAGTTCTGAGCATGGGAATATAATCCCAATCCTGGTCCAGACCAGGAAGGTGGGGTGGGAATGGTTCTGTGGATTCTATATGAACAGGGTGGCAGGCAGTGATAGGGCCAGACACTTTAGGAAATGAGGCCTTGGCAGAGGATAAGGAAGAAGTGCCCATCTAGATGGAGCATGTATGTACCCCAGGTACAGACAAGAGATGTAGAGTTGGAGTAAGGACAGGGCAGTCCAAGGTCACTGCTGTGGAAGTGGTGGACTTACTGACCCCAAAGGTCACTTGCTCACTCCCAGGACATGCTGTCAAGAATGCAGTAGAGGGCAGGGGTGAGTTATAGGTAGACAGGAACCAGGTTTCAGTCAGCTTAGTAGGACAATGGATAGGGTTTTCGTTCAGATGCAAATGTCCTGGACGGGGACAAGGACACCCCTGCTCGTCTCCTGCGGCAGAGGCCTTAGACTCTCTTGGTCTCCCAGTTTGCCATAACTAACGCTGGATATGCAGTGAGGGTCTAAAATCTTCAGGAATAACACTGTTAATTAATCGGGATCACAGTAACAAGTGCTTTTTCCCCAGGATGCCTTGCAGCAGAGGTTGACTCAGCAGGACACGTCTGTTCTTCAGCTCAAACAAGAACTACTGAGGGCAAATATGGACAAAGATGAGTGGCACAACCAGAATGTGAGTTACCTGAGTGAATTTTGACCTCGCTGAGCTCCAGTAGCAAAACAGCATACTGCGTGAAGTCCTGCTAGGCCTGCTGTCCTGATCTCACTTTACTTTTGGGGCACCTGCTCTCAGTGTCTGCAGTCATTTTTATTTCCCATTAGACGCACCTTTCTTCCTAGGTGAGAGCCCACACCACACTCGCCCGAGCCTTTCAACTCTGAGGCCCAAAGGCAGAAGCTGTGATTCTGTGGTCTGATGTCCTTGCTGAAGCCGCGGAGAGCAGCCGTGTGTGTTCACCGTGACCAGGCCTCTCCGTGCTGTGAGCCGCAGCTGCCAGCGTCCCCTCTGGTTGCTAGGCAGCTGCTTTCCTGTGGAGGCCACAGACAGTAGCTCCGTGCAGGTAATGCTCGCTTCCCCTTTCAGGTGGATCTGCAGGGGGAGCTGGAGGAGAGGAACCGGCTTCTGGGAGAGTATAAGGTAAGGATGTGTGTCAGCTTGGAGATGGTTTTCATTCGGCCTTTTCGGAACGTCTTGTTGCGGTTGTTCAGAGAGCGCTCAGGCACTCCGGTCTCACCCTTGCTTTCTCTGTGTTCCCTTGACTCACTGACCTGAAGAGGAGGCGCCACAGCCGGGAGGACGTCTGCAAGCTTCAGCCTTTCTCTTTCTCCTTAGCTGGAGGGATGGCACGCAGTGGCCTCCTACGAGCAGCAGCTCCCCTTCTCCTTCCCTTTCCAGACCCCCTGGCACCGTGCAGGACTGCTGCGGTGCGTGATGTCTCCACAGGGCTTGAGGAGAGGCTGTCCCCAGCCGAGGCCCTGCTTCCCTCGGGTGGAAATGGCATCGCCAAGGGTGAGCTGTTTGGTAGTCTTAACCGCCCATCTGAAAGCTCTGTGTCTGTCACAGAAACAGCTGGGACAGAAGGACCGCCTCCTGCAGCAGCACCAAGCCAAGCTGGACGAAGCGCTCCGGAAACTCTCTGAGGCCAGTTACCAGCAGGTGGGAACATACGCAGCCGCCGATGGTCCTGCCCTCCTGGCCTGAAGAAATTCTTTCCTGATGTCGCCTCTGCTTTGCAGGTGGATCTGGAGCGGGAGCTGGAGCACAGAGACGTCCTCCTGGCCCGCTGTATGAGAAGGGAGGCTGACGAGGTAACCTGCGGCTCCAGGTGGCCCTTCCGCCTTCACAGAAGCAGAGGGAGGTTCTGTTCTTGACTCAGGGCTGAACCAAGGCCACAGGTCGCTTTGTTGGGAGGCTGTTTGGTTCCGGGACAAGAAAATCAGGTTTCAGATTCCAGCATTACACACTTTTTTTTACCATTCTGTAACTTTAATTTGCTTGGTGTCTGAGCCTTAGGAGTAAGGCTTGTCTGGAAAAGGAAATAACAGTGGCTCTCAGTAATCTTTATGCAGATTACATTATACATAAGGTCATCCATGTAAACAAGTAAACAAGGACCTGGTGGATTACCTGGCACAATGTCTGGCTCAAAAGATATCAGTCATGGTTGTTACATTTTTATTCCTAAATCCAGACATGCTGGAGCAGCATTCTCGGGCCCTCCAGTGGCCATGTGGGGGCCTGGTTGGGGGCCTTCAGGCTGAAGTTTCCATCTCGTTTATTGTGCACTCATCAGCGCCTACCCTGTGTCAGGTCCACGCTTACAGCAGTGACCAAAAGGGAAAACACCTCTGTGCTCATGAGGCCAGCATTCTAATAGAGACACTACACAAAGGCATGATGATGCCATGGCAGGAAGCCACAGCTGTAAAGAGCAGGGTGTCCTGTCTGGGGTTCTCCCCCGTAACGAGCACCACTCCTTCCTGCTTCCTTAGGCACCCGGCTACAGCAGCCACAGCCCTCAAAGCAATGGTTTCCTTCCAGTGGCGGGAAGAGGGGCTGCTCCGGCCACCTGCAGAGGGGTAGGTGCTGAGGGTCTGTGGGCGGGCAGACCCCACGTCCCTGGGCTCTGCTTCTCTGCACTTCATGGACACTGTTCACTGTGTTCTTCACGATCAGGGCTGGTGGGCAGTCCTGCTCTGAGCAGGTCTGCAGCACCGTCTTCCCAGCACCGGCTGCTCACTTCATGTCTTTGTGTCACATTTGGGTAATTCTTGCAATATTTAAGTATTTTTCATTATTATATTTGTTTTGGTGGTCTGTGGTCAGTGATTATGGCTCACTAAAAGCTCAGGTGATGGCTAACATTTTTTAATTAAGGTGTACACATTGTTGTTCAGGCCTACTGCTACTGCACACTTAATAGACTACTGTGTGGTGTAAACATGACCTTTGTGTGTGCTGGGAAGCCAAAACTTCATGACTCCTTGTCATGATATTCACTTTATTGTGGTGTCTGGTAGTGAACCTGCAGTATCTTCAAGGGGTGCCTGTACAGACCTGCCACTCCCAACTAAACCCAGAAGAGTACCCTAGCCGTCAGCAGGGATGAGGCCTTCTACATCCCAGGTCCCCAATTCATGCATCCGTTGGGTGTGTAAATATGTGAAGCACTTGCTACCCAAAATTAAGATTATTAATGGTCAAACTGCAGTAGGCCTGGTTCTGTGGATGGAAGAAAATTTTCCAGTTTATACCGCCTCCTTCCCAAAAGGTCTACCCTGGAAACCTCTGCCCTCTATCTTCTCAAGCGCAGCAGCTGGAATGTGGTTAGTAACGTGGCACCTGCCAGCAGTCCCACCTCATTTTTGCCTGCAGACCAGCGACCTGCAGCTGGTTCGGGACACCCTCCGCAGTCTGCGCGACAGCTTCAGTGGCCATGATCCTCAGCATCACACCATCGACAGCTTGGAGCAGGGCATCTCCAGCCTTCTGGAGCGCCTGCACATCATGGAGACCCAGAAGAAACAAGAAAGAAGGGTGATCCTCTTTCTGGGGCCCTCTTCCTAGGCCAGGCCAGCCTGGGGTCGTCAGTTTTGGTGCCAGGACTCCGAGTGAGCAGGCTTCATGCTGGATCGCAGTGCAGGGCAGAGCCGGCGATAACTCTGGCTGCACATCAGCGTCTAAGGACTTGCGGTTCCTGATCCCCACAGGGTCTCCCTTTACTGCTTACTCCCCTTCCCCCAGATGAACTCAGCCTTGGATGAGGACATACAAGGGAAAATGCATTAGAAACTAGAAAGCTTTCTATAAATGTGCATTATTATTGTTAGGATAAATATATATATATAAAGGTATATATTTTAGGTACACTCCAGTTGCCTGTTTAAATTCTCTCATTGACTGTAACTCTTGCTATTTTTGGTGGCTTCCCAGGGTCGAGGCAAGTCACCCAGAACTCAAGCAGGTCGTGAATACCGGGAGTCCTGGCCCCCTAACTCAAGTAAGTACTCATTGCTCCGGAGGGACTCCTAGCACACTAGAGAAGAAATTTAGTAGTTCTTATAGTGCTAATATTTGGGGGTTAGAATTTTTCTTGTACTTGCTCTTCTAATGTTTCTGTAGCAATACTAGAATTGAATTATTTCTAAGACTCAGAAGATACATACCACCATGATCACCACCATCACCCCAAGAATCATAGAGCAATGTGCCGACTCAGAAAGCCTAAAATATTTTTGGAAAATATACAAGCTCAAAACACTCACACCTAACAAAAAGCAAAACACGAAGCAACAAAAACACACATAAAGTATCGAACAGTAACAAATCACCCAGCAGTCCCGACTAGCACAGAAAATTTCCAGTTCTTCCTAAATGCAAGAAGTCTAATTTCTTTGGGGACTTTCCTTAAAACTTTGAGTGCTCAGTTTATTTATTTGAAGTTCCGCAAAATATTTGTGACTGTTAGTGACCATGAGTGGCCAGGAAGTATGTTTTAACCTGCTCTATGCCCACTCATTACACTTTTTCCCCCTGTTTGTTCCAATATGTTGGAAATCTACCCTGCCTGGTAATTTCTGTTTTACTTTGTATCTTCCTTCTTGGTTTAATAACATTCACATTTTCTTAATCTTTTATGGTTCACTTGGGCATCTAAAAGTGTCTAAATAATAATTTACAAAAAACTAAATAATAAATAGCTGACCACAACCAGTTTTTATGTTATGTATGCAATTTTAAAAACCGTATTAATAAACAAAACCTGAAGTAAAGCACTTAAAATACCTGCACAAATACAAAAGGTAAAATTTCTTTTGTAGAGCAAATAAAATAGCATTCTCAAGCCTCCAGATACCCTTCCCTCTTGAATGAAATGTCCACACTGGAAACAAAACGAATTATGTTAGTACCAAAATTAGTTTCAGTTTCTTTTTCTAGCATTGTTTTAAAACAGTCATTTCTGTTTTCTTGAAAGGCTTTTTATTTTACTGTTATTCTCTTCAGCACTTTCTTTAGGTCAGTATAAACTGCCTATGTGGACAGGTCTAAATATTCAGAAGTTCGTTTTCAAAACTCTAATAAGTTCCTCCTTCCCTGGAAGAATTCTTTTGTGTACATGCAGTACTTATTCAAAACACTATAAATAAATTCACAGCTGCTTGCAAAGTAGGGTGTTAATCGAATGCCTATGCAAATAAACCTCTCATCTGAAAGCACAGTGACTCGTACAGCTTGCTAGCCCTCTAGCTGCTGACTCATTCTCGTTCCCCCGCATCAGACTTCCTGAAAGAATAGTGCGCACTTGCTCTTTTCTACCCTTACTGGCCACTCACTCCTCAAGCCGCTTGTTGGACTTTACTCAGTTTCTCCCCTTAGTGTTCTTTCTGTTGGGTCACTGTTGATTTTTTTGTTACCTAATCAAAGTGGTTATTTTTCAAGTGTTACATTCCACTCACTTTTCAAAAGCAATTACGGTTCTTAAATAGTCTCCTTCTGGAACCATTCATCTCCTTCAACTTCAATGCCAACCAGTTACTCATACAACACTTACTGACTGAGCATCCATTGTGTAGCGCCCATGTCAGACACTGGCAATACAGAGGTGAACACGATGGATCTGGTTCTTGGCTTCGTGGGACTGCAGTCTGATGAACTAGATACAGCCTCCTTCGTCCTGTCTAACCCTTGACTGTTGACGATCCCTGGGATTCCACTGGAGGTCTAGACCGAGGTCTTTTCATATTCCCTTTAGCCCATCTGCTCTACTCTCATGGTTTCATCTACTCTTGTGTGCTGATTATTGTTAAACTTTCATCTCTAACTCCAGCATTTTCTGAGCTTCAGGGCTATATTTTTGAATGCCAACTGGATATATCTCTCAATAAGTCCAAAGGCACTTCAAACTCATGTCCAAAACTGGACATGAAACAGCAGTAGAGTGAGAAAAATACACAATAAGGAATCCAACAGATCTGGGGTGTAGTTTTGACTCAGCAGGACGTGTGGCCATGGGCAAGAGTATTAATTAATATCACTGAATTTTAGTTTCTTTGTTGATGAAATGAAGATAATTTTGAAGGATTATAACCATTAAGTGAATTGTATGCAAATAATCAGGTATAGCATGTGGCATATGAAAGATGCAAGGCGAATTTAATAGTCTCAAGATACCTTCCTTTCATTTCCACCCCATGCCCTTTCTCCTTTTCTTCACAGCCAAATCTCTGAAAGAGGAATCTCTCTGAACCCACTTTCTTTCTTGCCATCCACTCTTAAGAGAAAATAACAATAATTATTCCAGATTTAAAAAGTAATGCAGAATAGAATTGAGAGAAATGTATAATTTTTTAGATTATCCAATTTTTTCTTGCTGTTAGGGTAGGAGTAGGCTCCTTCTAGGCTTCTATATCCTAGGCAGAAGTTAGAATGACACTAAATTTTTTAAACTCACTTTTTTTTGAATGGAGGTAAAATTCATATAACCCCAAACTCACCATTTAACCGAAAAGCACATTCACTGACATTCAGTAGGTTCAGTGTTGTGGACCTGTCACCACTACCTAGGTCCAGAATGTTTTGCTTATCCCAGAAGGAAATTTTGTACTCATTAAGCACTCCCTTCATAATCCTGGCATCTGTCTAGTCTCTACTTTCTGTCTTTTTGGATTTACCTATTCAGGACATCTCATATAACAGGATTCATCCAATTTGTACCCTTTCGTGTTTGGTATCTTTCACTTAACATGTTTTCAGGGTTCATCCATATTATAGCTTGTGTCAGTACTTCATTCCTTTTTAGGGCTGAATAATATTCTGTTGTATGCATAAATCAGAATTTGTTTAGCTTTTCATTAGCTGATGGGCATTTGGGTTGTTTCCACCTTTTAGCTGTTGTGAATAATGCTGCTGGGAACATGTGTATACAAGGTTTTTTTTTTTTTAACTGTTTTTAATTCTTCAGGGTATATACCCAACAATGGAACTGCTGGGTCATACAGTAAATCTATGTTTAATTTTTTGAGGAGCCACCAAATTGTTTTCCACAGCAGCCATACCATTTTATATCCCCAGCAATGACGTATGAGAGTCCCAATTCCTCCACATCCTCACCAACACTTGCTACCTTCCATCTCTTTGGAACCACTTAGTGGGCATGAAGTGGTATCTCAGTGTAGTTTTGATTTGCATTTTCCTAATGACCAGTGATTTTAAGCATCTTTTCATGTGTTTATTGGATGTTTATCTTCTTTGGAGAAATGTCTATTCAAGTCCTTTTCCCATTTGTTATTGCATATTTTGTCTTTTGTAGTTAAGTTGTAAGTTATTTTTAATATATTCTGCATCCCAGGCCTTTACCAGATACATGATTTTCAAATAATTCTCCTATTCAGGTTATCTTTCCACTTTATCAGTAGTGTCCTTTGATGCCAGCAAGTTTTGCATTTTGATGAAGTTTTCCTTTTCGTTGCTGCTCATGCTTTTGGTGTTTCAGAATCCAAGGTCATGAATATTTTTCCTTGCATTTTCTAATGTTTTATAGCTTTACCTTTTATATTTAGGTTAATGATCTATTTTGAATTAACTTTTATACATGGTGTAAGGTAGGGGTCCAATTCTGTTCTTTTGTATGTGGACAACCATTGTCCCAGCACCATTTGTTGAAGAGACTATTTGCTTGTGGAATGACCACAGATGTATGGGTTTTATCTCAACTCTCAAGTCTATTCCACTAATCTACTGTATTACTTTTTTAATTTGGAATGATTATTGTTGTTTTCCCTTAAGAGTAAATGGTAAGGAGGCGGGTTCAGAGATGTAACTCTTTCAGGAGGTTTGTGGTGGTAGGATGTGAGCGCTGGCTCATTTTGTCAGAGCATGGGGGGAAGACGGGGCTGCCATACAAACAGGTAAGAATTCCGCTAAGGTTTTAATGAGTCACTGGAGGCTGAGTAGGTCATGTAGAAACCCTGGGGGCCACAGATGCAAAAGGAGCGCGCCCCCACTTGCGGACTCCTTTCCCTGGACAGCCACTGGGCACTTATGAAAAGGACTGGTGGTGGGGACACAGCCTGGAGAGACCGTCTCTCTGGTGGAGGCCCAGAGAAGGCAAGCAGCTGCCATGGCAGCGAGGAAAGCACAAAGCCCCATTAATCTGCTAGGGAAGGGCAGCGGGCCCTGTGGCCCCTCCCACCCGCCCCTCCTGTTTCAGCTAGTGGGAGCAGGAAAAGGGAAAGCAGAACCCTACCTGTGGGAGAGAAGCAGGAGCGACTTGGGCTCAGAGAGGTTGCTTGCCACTGGGGGAAGAGTAGGATCAAGACTGAGGTTGGGTCATGACAGTAGAGGAGCCCCACATCCCCACCCCCAAGTGAGCGGGTGCCGTGTGATAGAAGCAAAGCGGCTGGCACTGTGGGAAGGCACAGGTGCAGAGAGACTGACTCCGTGGCACACGGGTGGGGCAGGAACATGGAGGAAAGCCCCCCAGCAAACCAGCAGACACCCAGACCTGAAGCTGGAGGACTGTGAAGGTGGTGGCGCACTGAGAGTCCCCTTCACAGAAGTCCCAGTCCCAGCCCAACTCCTGCCTAGACAGACGCAGCTGTCCCGAGAACGGCCTGGCAGGACGAGCAGTGCGCCCCATTCCTAGCTTAAGTGTGTGCTGCCTCACTCTCTGCTGTCTAACATTCAATGCCAAATTATGAGACATCCAGAGAACAAGAAAAATACAAGCCATTGTCAAGAGGCGATCAGTGCCTACGCAAGAGTAGACTCACATCTGACAAGGGCGTTGAAACCATCAGAAAAGGGATTTAAGATATCTACAGTTAGTGTTAATTGTTGTAGTAAAAATGTTGATCTAATGCACATACAGATGAAAAATTTAAGCAAACAGATGGAAATTATGAGGAATCAAATGGAATGCTAGAAATAAAAATAAAGGTAACAAAGAAGAAAAGTGCCTTCAAGGCCCATCAGTAGACTCAACACAGCTAAGAATCAGCA